AATGACAATTATATTTAAATAATGATTACTTTTAAGTGGAGAATAATATTGTTGATCAGGAATTTAATGAAGATAATTATTAAGTGTGTCATCGCTCAATTGTCATTAATAAGATTATATTAAACTCAGTCTACGTTCTTTTGAAAAGTTAAATAAAAAGAGAATAAGAATTGATCTTATAAACTAAAATTTGCTTTAGTAACAGAAATTGTAGTTTAACTGTGTATTATTGTCGCTCATGTCAATGTAAACAGTATTTATATAGCGTGTCGTAAACCTTCGTATAAGCCATGAGCATAGTTTTAATTACACTATTATATTTATTCAAAGCAATAATTTTGACTTCCGTAGCCGAGTGGTTCGCACGTCGCTTTAAGATATCGTAATCTCTGAGATTCCCGGTTCGATATTTCTACCTATGATGTACCTCATTTAAAGGCAAATAAATATTATTATATTATATTATTATATTATTAGTTCGGGTTAACGTGGGAAGCGAACTTTTCTATATTGTCTCGGGTCTGGGTGTTGGGGGTACCTTCGTTGTCTCACATACTCCATAATACGAGGGCTTTGGCTACTCATCTTGGAATCTGAGCACTGTATGTGACGTTATCGAATATTCTTTTTTTAAATAATTTGTTAAAAAATGAAACCAAACGTTGATATTATTAATTTTCAAAACGAGATACTTACGGTAGGGACTACAAAGGAGAGGAGTATTTCTGATACATACAGTGGCGGACTAACCCTGTCGGGGGCCCGGGGCGGCATTAGGTCCGTACCTACAACTTTTTACAACTGGTGCAAAAACTTGATATTGTGTTTACACCGCCTCCCCTGCTAAGACACCGGCTAAAACTACGAAACTAAGAAAGATAAGGCAGTACAACCCCAATTTATGATTTGATCAACGCCTTCCTTAAATTCTTGGTCAAAAAATATAGCTTACTATGCGATTTAATCAGTATCTGAATTAAGCTGGAATTAATTTATAGACCTATTAATGGATACGTTTCCACATAAAGGCGCACTTGCATTGGTTGATAAGGCCCGCATTCGGGAGATTTTGGTAACATAAATGGCACTAATAGCTGTTCGCTTAAAGTTGACCGTCCACGACTGCTACTAAAATGTTATAGGCAGTTCAACATGTACCGTCGACAAAGAAATAACAAATTGTATATTCACTCAGCTTAACTTTCCATCGGTTAAGGCGAGCTTGATATTCTTTATAAAAGTTAATAAAGAAAAATACTACCCTGCCAGCGCTACGAACTCCAGGAACTCGATAAACGGGTTGAGAGTGAGATAAGTAAATACAGTATCTTACTCATGGTCTCCCAATCGACCTTTTCTCGAGTCTCTCGAGTTCGTCATAGCACGGGCTAAACATACACTACGGTCAAGCGGGGAGAAGTGGGAGTGGCTAACTCGAAGCGAACTACTAGGAAATCATTATTGTATGCGCTTGTGCTATAAATGCTGTTAAAATCGATTCGTTAATCGGTATAAGTGATACTCCGGATATCCGTATCCGTCGGATCTTGTACCTTATTAATTTTCAGTCGATATGAGGAAATATGTCCTGCCAAAATTTGTCATTGCGGCGCATTTGACTGATTGAGTAAGAAAGATTCAAATCTTGACACCAAATATCCACCCGTATCCGTGGATAAACATTTTTAACGATCCGGCACATCACTAGTCGTTAAACCGCCTAAAACCAATGCAGTAAGCCCACAGAGAAAAACCTTTTTTTTCTGTTAATTGAATTTGTCATACTTAAGTGACGACATCCATTACGCTAGTGCCTGTAAGTTAATAGAATGTAGATTTCGTGTTGTGACCCATATTTAGATATAGCTAGGAAAAGACATGAATTTAGTTGGTGCACTCTTATTAATAATGGAATTATTAATACGCTCATTGTGTAATTTAAGTTTTAAACTATATTTGCGACCATTTTAAGTAACATTAAATTCAATCTTATTATGTTAGAATATTTTACAAAATTGTATGAACATGAAAAGCTAATGAAGTCTACTCTCGCATATAACCTGTTTGCTTCGTTTGGTTGGACCATATGCTACTATTTATAAAATATAATTTCATATGAAAGCACATTGTATTTGTGTATCTTTATAATCTCTATTCATTAATGTATAATTTATAGTATATCGAAAAGTTCGTGCGGGATGCCAGTCTGATTATTTTAATATACCAACCAATGTACAGTCGATAGCATATCAGAATACCGACCACCTAGCTCTACCTATTTATCAATGAATAGATTTATATTCTCTTATAATGTTCTTATTTTATTATTTATATATTTAATCAAAGGCTTCGGTTGTTGTAGTTTTCTGTGTTATATTAGGTTTGATTAAATATATAGAAAATAATAAACATATCATCATAAAAGAATGTAAATATTATATTACAAATATAATATTATATTATTATACTAGTATTATATTGATAAAAATAATAAAACGTTTTTATGGCTCTGGCTAGAATCATAGCTAGAGAGTTAGGCGGTCGCACCTCAGTGTCAAATTTGTACGATAGATTTTGAAACTTATACTTTAGACTGTTAAGATCAAAATCGATGGCAAAAATTTGACATTATCTGATAACTTGATAAGTCATTTTTATATATTAACCGCAATATTTAATCCGAATATATACTATAAATCAATTTCCATAGCTTGACGAATAAATGTATAAATAAATAAATGCACGCCATTGTGAGTAGTGATATTTTTTTGTTGATCTTACAAGTTGTATTGTGAAAATTTGTGATAAATAATATTTATTTAGTTGCTAACAATTTTATTATTGTTTTAATATGTTATTAAAATAGTAACAATATGATATTTTGTTTTATTTTAACTAGAGTAAACATATAATAAATAAGAAAAAAAAATCAGTCCGCTCCAATCGAATAGAGTGAGGAATTCGAGGGTATAATAATTTCAGGTTAAACAGCGTTGTCTGGCACGTCCAATGATCGAGCTTTAATAACGCTGGCGTAGTAGCGGGCAGCGGCACGAGGTGTCCGCGTACGGGATGGGTCGTCGAAGTCCACAGAGTATAATCCAAACTTGATTCTGAAATCGAACACAGATAGAAAATATGAAAACTTTTTTGCGCCCAATTTAGTAATCAAGGTGAATATTGTAGTCTAGTCGATAGAATTAAAAATTCAATTATGTAAACAATTAAGTGCCAGCAAACGGTCGATGAGTGGTAAACGCAAGAAAATTTTAACATTTAACGCGCCCTTAGGTGTTTGCCAACGATAGTACTTATGAGCAAACAATGGGATTTCGTAATATGACGAGTCACCAACACATCTCTTCAGAGCATCATTTCTCAAAGTAACACTTGTCTACGAAAATATTATTAGTTAGGTTTTGTTTTTGGGCTCCTTGTAAATATTTGGTTTCCAAAAGATTTCCAACGCCAATTTAGTTTGAGAAGTGCTATATCCTAACCACTGTAACTCGATGAGTGAGGGCACCAGTGGCGGACTAAAGGGGGGGGGCGAGGGCGAGGAGAGATTATTAGCACAAACATTTAACCGTCATGCTATTTGCTCATTCAATAGTAAGTTAATTAGCAGATTAGTTCAATTAAAGTAAATATTATTTATATGGAATGGAGTAGTCATAAAAAAATTGATCAATACATAATTTGTTTAATTACAAGTGCTTTTTAATAATAATTTTTGATAATTCGGGCAAACACCAGTTATTTTCTTTATTAAATTACATTAAATAATATTTAATGTTATATTTACAAGCGCACTATCCGTAAATGAAACAACGTTTAAACTTTTTAACCAGTAAAGGGTCCGAAACGTCAATAAAACTTAATACAAACGCGATGAAACCGTTTAAAAGTTGTTTTATTTATTAATATTTAATTTTGTTACTTCATATACAGGGTCAAGACAGGATAAAGCGCCCGAACTTGCTTTATTGCGGATACGCCTATGTCCACATTAAAGGTTATCACTATTAAACCCGGTTTATGTTGAAATTAAATAACTATACTTAATTATTTATGTATTTAAACCATGCATAGAAACTATAAGGATAAAAAACAACTTCAAAAATATGCTAAAGTAAATAATTACACGTATGTATCTAAAAGACTTATTATAATGTTACATTTTTCATTAAGAATATTTTTCAGTATAGCATTGTGAGTGCAAAATTGTTGAAATTATATGTTAAAAATATTTCTTTCGGCTGTTTAGGAGGATTGCCTGAGCATTGACGCTTGAGTAATCGTCAGTCCAGTTGGGTTCTGGGTAGCTTAGTGGTTAGAGCAGTCGCTCTGATTGCGAAAGGTCATGGGCCACTGCCACTGCGTAACTACAAGTCGGCAAAATGCCACGGGCCCCAGAAGCTTTTTACATCTGCTGTACATTATTATTATTACTATAACAATGTACTGTAATATTATCGGAGTCCTTTTACTTTTATCAAAATTCTTAAGGTAACTTACAGGTAGCCGCTTGCCCATTCGAAGTTGTCCATCAGAGACCAGGCACTGTAACCAGTTATATTTACACGGTCTTCTTTGATTGCCAGCAGTAACTGAAAGAAAGAGAAACATAATTTAATTTTAAAAATCCTGCATCTAATAGATATCAAGATTATTTTAAGATTTTAGCAAATCACAACATTTGCTTTAGGGAAATACTTAAATAGAGTTATAATTGATTTGACCATGTTTCTTGGGGATTTGATGAAATCTGATTGAATTATGCTATAGGAGAGTCACATTCCCAGTGGTCGTAATTAGTCATTATACTAATTTATAACAAAGGCAACCCTAACGCGATTTCAAACTAGAAACCGATAAGTCTATTCTCATCATCTCTCCATCCAAAGGTTGTCTGGAAAAGATCGCTGTTTAGTGATAAGACCGCCGATTGTGACACATAGCTTAATATTGTTCTTTTTTTTTCTTTGTATGTTTTGTATTTGGTGTTTGCAATAAAGTGTTATCTATCTATCTATCTATTTATACACTGTATATCACAAAGTGTAGGTAGGTATTATATTATGTGTTTATATCTCGTTTGATATTGTTATGTTGTATATTACATTTACCTGTTCCAAATATTCTTTATAATATTTTAAGCTTTCTTCTTCATACAGATCGTGAACAGTAGACCCGTATCCGTTCTCGGTAATGACGATTTCGTGATCGCCATATTGTTGCTTTATCCAAACCAGGCTTTTGCGAAAACCAACAGGATATGACTGTGAAAAAATATGTGAAATCGATTAAGAGCGATGTTTCTAATATCTCAATTGCTTTTGGAACTAGTGATGATTTCAATGATTGAGAAATATAATTATAGTTTTACTCGTATTATAGCTTCATTACCGGTAATAATGGATAACCAGTCGGTTTGGAGTCCGGATGCATTTCGATGATGAGGTTCAACTCTTCAGATCCATCCAGAGGAAAGTGACCGATTGCTTCGCCTGGCACAGCTCGTCTCACCATGCGACTGGTATAATGATTCATGCATATGAAATCGAAAGTTCCTGAAAAATTAGAAGTCTCTTAATTATCAGGCTGACCTCGCAACCAAACCTAACTTGTAACATTTTAATGTTTGCTTCGATCCTGTCGACATCGAATTCAATCAAATTGCATCCAACGTGAAATTTACTGTATTGAACGTAGAATGCATTGATTCAACGCTATGGATTTAACTTAAACACTATCTAACAATTATTAAATATTGCATGCAACATCCAATGCTAACCAAATCAAAGTCAACTATAGTTGCCCCCAAGGCAGAACAACGAGCGACACAGCGACATTGTCGCAGACAGCCGAGTAGGTCTGCAGACAGTTCGGCAGTATTACATAAATAAAAAAATTACACTAGCAGAAACAGAATTTTATTTTCAGGTTTTTATAATCTGTCGCAGACAGATCAAACCCTTCTGCAATGGGGGTAGTTGCGCGGTAGACCTTCTGTAGTGCTATTCTGTACATCAACCACCGACCCAAAAATTCCCTCTGAAAAGTATAAAAATAATCTTGAAAAAAAAATTTCCTTGCTGTCAGGAGACCATTCTATGGGACGTTTATAATTTAAGGCTTCGCCGACTCCAATCGCTCAAGGCAATCGCAATTTATTTAGCCAAGATTATTTTTATTTCAAATATTATTTTTACAGTATTTAAAGAGATTCATTGAGCCGGGGTTTTTTTTAATTTTTATTTCTTACTTTTTAAAAATGTCGGGTCAATGTAGAAAATGAACTTTCTAAAATTGTCTCGGGTCTGGATGCTGCGGTACCTTCGTTGTCATACTCCATAATAAGCATAGCGTTTGAAAAAAAAGCATTGCGTTTGAGTACTTTGATTTTACCGCATATTTTACACTTTTTAATAATTATTTTTCATACATTTTTAATAATCTCATACTAAGCGGTTTGTCAACTTGGATATGATGTCCAATAAGATCAATGTTTTATTTTAGCAAAAAAGCTTTTAAAACCTAATTTTCTATCTTTATATTAACTGTAGGTATTTATAACATAAATTGGAACAAAACATTAAATTTCCCTATATTTTTAGATACACAGCTCTAAAATTTTTTTTTTATTTTTTTTGTGTCAGATCTGTTTCTAAAAAATAAATAATCTCTTCATTTAAGTACCATCTTACTTATATCGGGGTAACATCAAGATTAGCAACTGACAGTCTCAATGCAATAACAAATGTCACGTGCCGTCATATTGTGTTCAAAGATATATATCTTTATAATGATAAGATTGTGTTGCATCTTAACATTAATACATAACAACAGCAGATGTTATGTCAACAAAACACTTGAAAATGCGGTAATAGTTAGGTACCTATTATGTTGAATGCGATTATCTCGTCGTTGTCAACTGACTCGAGAAATAAAGATTCTCTCAATTTTATGTACTACTATTAATCTTAATAAATAATCTTTCTCGTGATTTTGACTTATAGGTAAATAATTATTTGCCTAAACCGTTCGTAAAAGAGTCTAAAAGAGTCACGAAGCCCGTCACACACGTAGCTATAATATATATTAATATAAATTATAGCAAGGCATATATTCAAATGACCGCACACGCAGGTATAATATATATTTCTATGACTTCATCACGAATATATTAACGCATAATTATATATATTATTGCATATTGCGTATTAGGCTATAAACGCTAGGCTGACCATCAATGAATGAGGGCAAAATATATATATTATAGCATCGTCTCCGTGTGTGATAGCTTACTATAATATATATTATAGCTACGTGCGTGATGGGCTTTATAGCTGGCATAGCTATAAGAAAGTTCTACTGATTCTATCAATGAATACGTTAATATTCTTATACTATTTTTTGTTTTATTATTTACATATTTAATTAATGCTTTTGGTTGTTTTGTTCACTGAATTATTTAAGTTAGACTAAATTTATAAAATGTCGAATTAAGACAAACAAGCTTTGTTTTTTTTACATATTTCGTTAAGGAAAATAAACCAAAATTTTTGATTAAATATATAAATAATATAAAACAACTAGAATCAATGCTAGAGAGTTATGCGGTCGCGCTGCGCTGTACTGCGCTGGGCTGTAACGGATAAAAAATTATGTCTTGCATATTACCTACTCCGTATAAGGTCAAGATTGATAATAATTTAAATTCATTGTTACGTGTGACCTATTAAATTCGCGGTTTATATTGCCTTAGTTTTATCTTGATACACAACCCTAATTTATTCCTCTCATTACCACGTGGGCTAAGCTGCGGAAAGCAACTATCGATAAATTAAATACATAATAATACCTCGAGTATATTCAATCTCTTCTTTTGTGAACGCCGGTAGTCTAGAAGTGGTATAGCCTTCAGCGGCGCTGTAGTTTGCAAAAATCTCTTCAATGGCTTGAGGATAGCCTCCCTCCTTAGAAAATATAGGATGAGAATACCGACCCCACTGGAAATAAATACACTTATCATCAGTATATAGGGCTACACTAGTTACTCGATCCGACATTATTCTTTTTTTTTCGGCTCGCTGTTGTGAGGGATTCACTCACTCACTCACTCACTCGAGCCTTCTTTATTATTTGTATTTGGTAGTGAAATATCAGTAAGGTAATAACACTAATAATGTAACACATTTATTATAAGATGAGTTTTTTAAACCACAAAAATATTATGTTACACTTACAGCAAGTTGAATCGCCAGTTCAGCAACATCTTCATCTTCAGAAGTTTGCGGCTCAAACCACATAAAGTGATTCGCCAAAGACACTCGTCCTGTAAAGAAAATAAATATAATAATATTGTAAGATTAATGAAGTGTGACTTTTTAAACTTATTTCAAAAAGGAAAGCTCAACTAAACTAAGAAGTGAAAAGGGCGTTTCATAGCTTCATTACATTTTCTAACTAATGATTCCTTCGAGTTGCATGTTGTTAGCTCCACGAGACACGGGACTACGGAGTATTTTTCTAGAGTGCGTGGTTATTATTAAACACAGAAAACATTTACAGCGTAACCGCATTTTGGACGAAAGGATCGTTAGGAACCTCAAGCTCTGTTCTAGGCGGGAGGCACTCAAGCCTGAGAGATCTAAGTGTAAGCAGAGGGTGCCCTTAAAGGCTCGGACCTTGACTTGAGGTGTACCGTATCGCTTAGGAAGCCCTGTGTCTTCAGTCTCGACATTGATAAAGATCTTTAAGTAGCGATCGCAGAGTTCAGTGAATGAGCTATCAAACTAGATCGCTAGGAAAGCTTCGAAAATTACGACTGCTATGTATTATATAGCAATCAAATCGGTATAAATTTCGATCGTAAACTCTGTCGAGACTGCAGCACCGGGTGGTAAACACAGATAGTACTTTCTTTATATGCAGACCGAAGGTGGAAGGGATCGTGTATTAAAACATCTCACGCACACGAGTTAGGTCCGGCTGGCGCTCTCTTTGCATATCTTAGAGAAAACCACAGAACATAGATCTATGTTCTGTGGAGAAAACCATACTTTGACATCACCTTTGGTGGCTTGTCCTAGCGGTTAGAAAACCCTGATTTGAGGCATAAAGTATATTTCCTGAGCATTAGAACGAAAAGCTATGCCACGAAACGCTTTTTAGGTTCCAGCGCTTAACGCGCGTTCTATAATTTTTACTTTTATCCTACGGATGCGTTGTCGTCGTTGTTAGCGGTGTTGCGATGTAGGTTAGATATTTTCTAAACGCTATGCAGTTCCTAAATCAGGGTCATCGATAACTATGTATGGAAACTAATAGTCTTAATTTTATCGTCGATTACTATGGTGTTAATAACGTGATGAGACTGATGTTACTGATTCAGAAATTCAACATTTTACTAAACCAATACTCACCGTTATATTTAGCCCTGAATTCCTCGTCGTAAATTCTATAAGCTCTCGCATGGGCCACCACGATGTTTTTACTGCAAAGGTACCTCCCAATTGTGAAGTCTTCTATGCCGGGAGCGAAGTTCTGGTCTGAGTAGCCAATGTCGCAGACAGACATTGCCTCGTTGATGGTGATCCAAGTCTTCACTCGGTCACCGTACAAGGAAAACAGAACTCTGGAGTAGTCGCCAAACCAGTCCACAATAAGAGGATTAGCCCAGCCACCTGACAATGCATGACACTTATGATTTCCAAAAAAAACCGGCGGTTTTTTAAATCGTTATTCGAAAGAAACTTTTGCTTAGTTAAATTATATTTACATGGATTCATCTCTACGTGTAAGATTGAAACAAAGAATACATTATGTGTATAAAAAAATAAGCTTGACTATCGCTCTTCTGACGTGTTATAATCATTATAAAATTGCTTCAATTGCTAAATAAATGTGGTACTAAGCGCAAACTTGATTATGTCTAGAGCCCTTAGACTAAATATATTTTTTAACATATTCTTTGAAATCTGAAACTGATTCATTGCTTCTAGGACTGTTTCTTACCAAGGTCCTGTAAACGCTGTGGCAACTCCCAGTGGTACATAGTGACCATCGGTTCTATTCCTTTTTCAAGCAAACCGTTAATCAAATTGTTATAATAGTTTTTGCCATCTTCACTTATGTAGTTTGAAAACCCTGTAGGTAGGACTCTAGCCCAAGATATAGAGAACCTAAAAAAGAATAGGTTAAATCAAAACTGTTACGAATGAAAGACTGTTTAATAAGTTTGTATTATTTTCCATTTAAAGTATAGTTTGATCTGTCAAGCTCAAACTATACGTCTAAATGGTTCAAGTTCTTGAAAAGAATCATTCCTGTAGTAAGATGTGGCAACTCAACAATAATCTGGAGATATCGGCACATACTTTATATCTTTGGTCGTTGTGGGTAAAGTTCAAGTAATATGGCCTACTATGTAAGCGGAGCCCCAAAGGCATGACGTCACAACAGGGGCGGCATGGCATAATTTGTTTCGCTCTAATTATTTAAAGTACCTAAAAAATTCTTAGCATTTTGGACATTCTTTTTTCATATCAGCAGTGCTTAAGGATTCTTTATCATTGGCATATTTTTTGTTGTGGTTTTTATGGGCGTCATTCCAGTATCTTGCCTAGGGCGCCACGTTTGATTAATACAGCGCTGTTCACTGTATTCATTTACTAATAAGCTGTAAATACAAGGACATCGCGGAAGAGACAAAGGTAAAACTTTATGAGCTAAAAACTTGCGTATAGGTTGAGTACAAAATCATTTTCCCAGGCGATAACTGAAAAAATGAGAATAGCTCTGAAAATAGCCTATCTCTGGCAGAGGAAAGCACCATAAGAAGAAGTGAGCCAGTAGTCCAATACCCTGATGCAGTAATGCAAATAAGATTAACATCAAGTCTACTTGATAAAGTTATGGCCTGTAGAAGGGGGAGGACTGTCTCGACGACATGGTTATCCGGCAGTCCCATATAATCTTACTGGTCCCGCCAGATTTGGCGAGGTGTGCAGAATAGATACTTCTCCATAAAAAGAACAATTTAGTTACGGCTGGGGCCTATCGACCAGATACATCCGGTGGATAGACCCACTAAATTTCCGCCATCATATTCACTAGCGATGAGCTGGCTTTATAACATTTTCCTGCAATAAAAGTAGCTACCTGTAGAAGGCAAGACCGAGCTCTGCTGCTATGTTAACGTCCGTCTGCCACTGGTGGTATGAGTCGCAAGCCACGTCACCAGTGCTGCCGTCCAAGATGTGGCCCGAATCATCGTGAGTCCACTTATCCCAAATATTTTCACCTTTGTCTACAAGATTACACTACTATAAAACATAAAAAAAAACACTTAACCTGTTCTAAATTAAAAAAGAATCTTATTATAATCTTTTTCAGCAGTTATTGCAAACAGGGAAAAGTAAACGTGTCGTATGTAGAGGTCAAACCGATGGCAGGGAAAAGAGCCATAACTTCTAGGTATTGTGAAGAATTCTAAAATAAGTCTATAGTATCGTGATATGTCACTCTTTCGTAAAGTGTGTGAGGTTCTAGTTCGATTCACGATCGAGTCAAAATTGAATTAAACTTTTCTATAATTTCTCGGGTTCGGGTGTTGTAGTACCTTCCTTGTCGTCGAGCGCAGCGTTGTCATGATAAAGAGGTTTAATCAAATAAAAACTACTTCAAAAGGTAATCATTACATTGAAGCTCTATGACGTACAATGCGAGATTGTTTTTAACAAAATAGGATAGTTGACATAAATCAGTTACCACTGGCATTCCATCCTCCTTCTATCTGGTACGCCGAAGTACCAGCACCGAATTGAAATCCTGACGGAAAATCGTTGGCATTCTGGCATGAAGCTACAGCTAGGAGCAAACTGTAGGACAAATAACAGCGATCAAAATATGGTTATAAATAATCCACTATTTAAACGTTTTCGCTTCAAGATCTTAGAGGAATGATACAGATTCATTCTATGCGATCATAAAAGAATTAATCTGTATCGTTATCATTAGCCTAAATCCGTGTAACCACAGTACGAGGCAGCCTCATAAGGCAAGATTCACGAAATTACCGCGCGATGTGGTAACGAGTTTGCATCGCCAAACAGTTTGAACGTTGTTGCTTTCGCGACGCTTGGCTCGCTATTGAGTTCAGTGGTAATGGAGAGGCTCACACTCCGTTACAAAGGCTTACTGCCTTTTCTAAAAGAATCACATACGCAGAACATTTCATCAGACCCGGATCTAAAACTTTTTCCAACCAACTTTTTTGAACTGCATTATACTCTTATTGTAATGATTTTAGTACCCCCCCCCCCCCTGACTCTGGCACTCGGGGCAACTGCCCTCTCCCCTTAAATACTCTATGGCTTTACGGTCGCTAGTAGTGGTGACCGCGTTAAGAATTTGTATTAAGATTTGTACTTCTTGATAGTTACCGCTAGGGGTGCTGTACCGGATTCCATACGCGCTAACGTAAATGTCAAAAAAACTTACACCCAGCCTATTACTATGGGTAACGTTTGTTAGCAATTCCATTTCACGTAATTTGTATTTTCAAAAAATTTTAAACAGTCCTTGTACATCCTATAAAAGATGGTTTGATTGTGTATCTATTACATACTGAAAGCTAACCCACTACAAAACTTTTTAAATAGGGATTGAATTAATAAAATCGTTTTATTCGTAATACGTATTAGGTATTCATTTGAAAATTTATAATTATTGTTGGCATAGCAATTAAATTCAACTAAAATTAAATTTTAAATAACATTTATGTTGTAATGAATATATTAGTAATTACTTATTTTATTTATAGCTTACAAATAAAAAGCAACACATAAAAAACACAAACGGACGAATTTATATCTATCAAACAACTTCAATACGAGTGCGAAAGCCTTGTAAGTACGCAGTCCGATTCTTTTTGAAAAAATGGAAAAACAGATAGCCTTATTCTATATGACTGGGATAAGTCTTTTTGTTATTTAATTATTCTTTCTTCTTTCTAATTTTATCTATTAAGTAAATATGGGTTATTAAAATAGACAATGTAAGATACGCTAAAGTAAATATGTATGTATAATTTAGGTGAAGAATCAAATAATTTAGCTGACACTGCTTCATTTTATTGATGAATAAATATTTTGTTTTTGCATTGACATCAAAATCTATTATCTCTATTAGAAATGAACTCTTTAGTATTAAAGTTTTGTATATAGATTTTTCATCACTAAAAGCTTAAAATCTTGGATATTGAAGCCATCGTCACCGTACCCATAAAAGACTTCAGTGTATATAGGGAGAGTATCCATCCTATGTGAAACGGACTATAAGCCCTCAGTACGGATTGAAAACAAAATCACGACTAATTGCGTAACATTCCCTATGCTTAAACTAAATTCATCATCATCAATCATCATCATCAATCATTTCGTGGTTAACATGAGGTGTGCGTATACCACATGTGGGTCACGCCTCCATGTGAAGTTTATGACCATGGTTTTCAAAATATCTACTTATATGTTTCCTATAGCATTAAACGCCTAATCTATTATATTTATTTATTCAATCTAATAATTATTTTTATTATAAAAAATATATATCAATTTCGCGTTGACAATGCTATACTGAAATGGTTCGTGGTACTCCGATATAGGAATTATTTTATTTAGTTATAAAGACGTATTTAATAGAAGTCTTCAACTATCAAAACAAATAACGCATCATAAAATTTAATGAGAGGCATATTGTAGCAAGAAGTCTGTCTATTTTTTTTTATTTAATCAAATAGTAGTAGTTGTTGTAGTTTCGTCCATGGGACAGGCAAAGGAACTAAGCCATATAGCCAAATCTTGAGTCTTATTTTATCAATATCTTACAGAGCAGAACCAGCAATATTTTTTTTCTAATGATTTGCTTGCCATGACTTCGGAATATTCGTCATTGCATGCTGGCAATCGCTTGAAAAAATGAACCTTGCTCAAGTAGTGATTGTTCTGAAGGTTCAGAGTTTGAATTTTCATTATTTTTAAGCTTGATAATTTCGCTATTAATAGGGTCATATCACTAGAAGGTATTACTAGAACATTGTTTTATTGTTTTTTTTTTAATAATACAATTTTTACAAAAAAACTAATTAAGTTAATTTTTACATTTATGAATGTTAAGAATCACACATATATTATGTAATTCTAAATAGCTTGTAAATATATATTTCGTTAGACTAGGTATTATATATAAAAACACGGATTTTTACTGTTATTGTTTTCGGTAGCTAATTAGGATTCCGTACCCAAAGGGTAAAAAGGCTAAAACAGGATTACTAAGACTTCACTGTTTGTCTGTCTGTCATCGGGCATGAACCGTGAAAGCAAGACAGTTGAAATTTTTACAGATGATGTATTTCTGTTGGCGCTTCAACAACAAATACAAAAAACCAGAACAAAACAAATATCCTTGATAACGAAAAAAGGTAGACGCTCGAAATATATGCAGAATATATATATTTAGTAAAGTAACTTTAAATAAATAATTAAACAAATATTTAAGGGGAGCTTCTATACAACAAATGTGATTTTTATTGCTTTGTTCCGGTGCGGACCCCTTCGTGCGCGAGTCCGATTCGTTCTTGGCCGATTTTTTTTTTGTTGATATTCTCCTTTGATTAAATATTGACAATGCGTTTCGACATTTGTTATGTACATATTTGATTCTTTCGTAATTTAACTGAACTCACCTCAATACAGCTAGTTCCCACACGGACATTTTAACTACTGAATACAAAATACAAATACAATAGTTTCGTATGAACAGTGATAGTCCTTTCAGATAAAGTGATAAAGATGATTGAGTGAGCGTAAAATAATTGGTTACATATTGAATCACATAAACTGATAAATATTAAAACAATATTTAACCTTTTACACCAAGTTTTTAGTTCTGCTTTCCGATAAGATCAACTTAGTCTCACTAGTACATATTGTGAATTTTACAGTAAACACTCTGATTTATTAGGCTGGGAACCTTCAAAACTGTGATGTATACTTCTCATTATCTCTTAATCTGTTTAAAAATTAAAAATTACTGCCTAGCTGTCTCACAATAGTAGCTTATATCACTCTTATATGATGTAGCTTCCCGTAGGTTAAAGAAGTCAGTAAATCCGAAGATCACCTCCAGCGAACATACAAAGTTAGAAACTTAATCTCTTTTTATATTAAGTTTACGCGCATCCTTGACACACAATTTTTAACGACTTACGCGCTATTCTATTGCTATGCTATTTTGTTAAGCAATTTAATAAAATGACAGGAATTTGTATATATACAGCCAGTTGCACAAATGTCCATTAAATTTTTCATTAGTTTAAAGTGTCATTACCCATACAAATTTGACATTCATTAGTGCTTAAAGGCGTCATTAAACCTTAATGGACGTTTGTGCAACTGACCGATAGTGCTTTAAAAATTTTCTTTTTCAAAAAGACAGTATGTACCTAAATTAGTTTTACTACAAAGAGCCTATATAGAGTTAAATAGGTAAGTAAGTTTGTTGTAATGATAATGTTATTTTTATGTAGTTATTACTATTTAATATAAGTTTTTTAATATGATAATTGTGAATTATTGTTATCTTTATTTCACTCATCGTAAAATAAAATAAAATTTATAACATCGGCAATGTAAAAGATGTTGATGACTTAAAAAATAAATTTAAATATGACACTCAGTATTATTTTATAATCTTTGTTTTCAACGAATTTATGAAGATTACTGCCGAATCTCAACTCCGTCCGTACCTACTTTTTTCTAAAAGCTTGAGTCAACAGCACGGTAAGTTATACAAATCCGTCAATTTATTCCATTCGAATTTAAACCTTAATTTAGTAGTAAAAAGTTCAAAATCTAATCTAATTTATGTGTGAAATTTGCTGCTACATAACTGGGAAGTGACAACAAACTAATAAATTTAGATTAGTACATTATATTTCTACAGTGGAGTGCTGTAATGCCTGTTACACAAATAGCCGTCGGCCTGAATCCTAGTTTTGCTAAAATTTGTGTAATTATGCCGCTTCTATAATAAGTTCCTCTCAGTTTTTTTTCGCTACATCATAAATCAATAAACATATCGGTCACCATTGATTTGATGAGATATATAGATAACACTAAATACAAAACACAAATAGAACAAAAAAAGAACATCAGCTAGGCTACGTGTCGCAATTGGTGGTATTATCACTATACAGCGATCTTTCAAAGACAACCTTTGTATGGAGAGATGAACTGTCTTAAAGTCACACGATTTGTATACATTATAATTATATGTAATCGGGTCTTGTTCGTGCATTTTTTTAAAACTATTAATTTACCTCGACGTTTCGGCTACGTTACAAGTTTTAAAATAATGCACGAACAAGATCCGATTACATATAATTGTAATAATTATTTTTTAACACCTTTGCTCGTAAAGCTGATGTAATTCCACCTGTTTTAAATATGTAAAACGGGTCATAAAAAACGCGTGTGTTACCAAAGCAAATAGTTAAGTTATAGTCCATACAAATTCCATAACAGTATTATTTGCCATTTCGCGCGCTGTTACTATTCAAATTTCGAACTAATCGCCGCGCGGCGCCAGTCAGTAGGCAGCGCTAGCGCGCTGTTAAAATGGCGGGAAAGCAACAGTGTAAATTCACAGATTGCGTTTATTTAATGTTTTTTTTTCTGTTTCCTCGCAAATGTGTTAAAAAACGTCGTACGATATACGAGGGGGAATTTCAGCCCGAGCCGAAGGCGAGGGCGTAATTGATCCGAGCATGTTATAACCATCATAACGCACTAATATCGTAATATTATACAATTTATTAAAAATAAATTATATAGGTACTACAAATGTAGGGGGGTGAGCGTCCTGTGACTCGGTCACGGCCTCCCGGGTCTCATTCCTAGGGGAGAGTACACCGTAGGGGTTTTTGTGGGTAG